TTTTAAATAGGTTTGAAAAAAAAAGTTTCGGTTTCAGCTTGACAGTTTTTTTATTTTCGGTTTCGATTTCGGTATCAACATTTCATTTCGGTGCACCTCTAATACAAACAAATGCCAGCGTGCATGCATGTAAGGAGGAAGAAGTTGCAAAGAGAATGCAGGGGATAAGAAACACAGAGATGGATCAATAAAATTAAAAAAAAATAAAAGGCTAAAACAGTGTTTTTAATTTTTTTTAAAATGCAGTTTTTTTAATGATACATGGTTTTGTAGCAAACTTAATGCAGTAATCTAGTTGGTAAAGATCACCATGTGATGTTACATCATCAGGAATTGGTTATTGGCAGCAACTAAAAGAGAATATTTTGTTTGCAGATGATGATGTGTTTCTGGACAATGAAGCCTTAAGACAAGAATATGTGATAAATGAACATGGCATGTTGTATCAGGGAACTAAAGATTTTATTGTCTCTACCCCGTGGAACTTTGGACAGGTGAGATTTATTTGTATTTGTTTTTTTATGTTGATTTCTGCAGATTTAATCCCAGTCTGCTCTTGCATAGATTTTTGTTTAGAACAATCTCAGTTATAAAGTATAGACACTCCACCTGCGGCACCCCCCAAGTCCCTGGGTTTCACCTGAATGCTACTCTGTTGTAACAGGCAAGCTCTGGCACTACTTGATAGAAAATGCATTATGGAGACACACACATCTTACTAGTATACACAAGGGTGGCTCCATAGGACCCTGCAAGTGAAAGGAGCCACCCAAAACAGAATATCAGGACCAGTGCTCTGGGGACCAGCTGATTCTGCAGGAAACTAAAACTGTTTAACCTTAGGAAACAGCATCCAGCAGGTGTCGGCCTATAGGAAACAGTTGGATGGAGCTTTTTGTTATATGATTTTGTTTTCCTTTTTAAAAAATCTTGATTTACTTTTTAATTTTACAATCTATTTACATTTTAAAAATATTTGTTTAACCTTTTTTTTCCCCACAATTTTTTATTTTGCTCAGTACCACAGAGGTACCGAGCAGAATAGCTGAGCCAAATGCAGCTTGACAGCATTCGGCTTTTCACTCACTGCCGTTCGGCCCCAGTGTGAATAGGGGCGAATGGCAGCAAGCGAGCTGCTGGAACTTCGGTTCAGCCGATCCAGATGTTGGATCGGCTGAGTCGAAGTCCTTCTGCACTTCGGCAGACCGAAGTGCAGCCGAAGGCAGCCGATGTACTGCTGAAATCAGCCGTACTGAGCTGGAGTGAATAGCCGAACTTAGTTCGGCACACTTCACTATGGCTGGGTTATTCACTCGGCTGCCTTCCGCAGCTTTGTGAATAACCCCCTTTGACTTTAATATTAATTTAAGGATGCATTGTTTAATAAAATGTTGCTTAAATACTTCCCGGCCGGCCGTTGTAAAAAACGGAGCCAGAAGCTCTCTAGATCTGAGCGGGCGTCTTTAGACGTCCGCTCAGCCACGCCCTCCCGCCTGGCGCGCGCGAGCGGAATAATGCCCGTTATTTCAAAACAGGCACCCCTCCCCGGCTCCCCTCCTCCCGCAGACACGCTAGTCCCGGGCTCTGCTGTGCCCCGTGCAAGCCCGGGACCAGCATACGGCCTCTGTCACAGGGTATCAGAGGGAGCTCGGTACACGAGCTCCCTCCGGTCCCCTCTCCGCTGTCAGAATGCAGAACTAATGTATATTACATCACTTCCGCATTCTTGTGTCACACTCCAGCTTCAGATGCTGGAGAGAAGCTGATGAAGCAGATCTCTGCTTCATCAGCTTCTTCACGGGGGTCCTAGGTGACATTAGGGGTCTTGGAGACCCCTGATGTCTCCATAAAGAGGACCTGTCACATATTTTGCTATCACATAAGGGGGTTTTCTAAAAAAAAAATAGGAAAACAAATATTTAAGTTTCCCCCCAAAAAATGTAAAGTTACAAATAAAAAAGAATTAAATGTTTTTTTTTTTAAAGTCCCCCCCCATACATACACGCATGCAAACAGACGTCAGGTGCGCATACGTGCGAAAACGACGATTTTGCCCATTACGCCGCACATGTTACATATCGTCGCGAACGTCGGAATGAAAGCAATGGTTCTACGGCCATCAATCACTGATAACACTAAACTGATGAGCTGTAAAAGCTTTTAAAGCGTCGCCTATGGTCATTTTGGGGTATGGTAGTTTTTTGCGATTTCGCGGGTGCACGCAATTTTAAAGCATGACATGTTTGGTGTCTATTTACCCGACGTGACCCCGTCTTTTATATTTTACCAAAAATATGGGTAATAATCATTGTTTCCTAACATAATGAAAAAAAAATGTTCAATCATTTTTCTTTAACCCCTTCATGACTGAGGCCCTTTTTTCATTTTTTGCACCCATGTTATATTCCACATTTTAGGCCTGAAAATGACGTAAAACCCCCCAACATTATATATTTTCTGAATGCCAAGACCCTATAGAATAAAATGGTGGTAGTTGAAAATGTTTATGTAAAAAAAAAAAACCACAGTGGTGATTAAATACCACCAAAAGAAAGCTCTATCTGTCTCCAAAAAATGGTATAAAATTAATTTCAGTACAGCGTTGCATGATGGAATAAACGTCAGTCAAAGTACTGCAGCGCTGAACACTGAAAAATGGCCTGGGCAGGAAGGGGGTCTAAACACCTGGTCTTGAAGTGGTTAAGAGCTTCGATTCAGATTTGAGATCATTTCAGATAATTCAACCTATCATGTAAACCCGTGAAGCACATATTAAATGCTATTGTGTCCTGTATGTTGAATAGAAATCCAAGCACAAAATAGACACCTTTGTTTTGAGATATTAGAACTTCAGAGAACGTGTGAGGAACTTACGACAGGTAGATTTGTTGACTTGTAAGCGGTGATGTTACAAGCTGTCACTTTATTATGCGGCAAGCCGCACCTTAACTTTGGGGATTAAGTTGAAACAACATTATTTCATCATCATCCCTTAGGCAAGTTATTAAAGTGAACATAAGCATTTGCCAGTAAGTATTACCTGAACAGGTAAAGATAAATGTGTTAGCTTTAACTGTCACTTTTTGACATCATACAGAACATGATTGAATTTTTGTGAACTTTTTTGCATTTGTCACTGTTTTTTTTTACATGTTATATAATGCAAAGTTTTAGAAGCACTGTCAGATATGTACTGCTGCCTTTTAGGTTATTTCCTCTTACTTCCTGTCCCGGTGATCACTCATGCTACTAAAAAAGTTTTTACACCTTTTTATCCCCGTGTATGACATCACTGCTCTAATAAAAAAAAAATGTGTACTTAAAGTGAACCTGTGCTTTGTCCTTGCAGAGCAAGATAACAGTTTTATTTCTTTGCCACCATCCATAGCTTCATATGCTACACTGGCCCTCTCTTTGGCCTTTAGGAGTGAAGAGATGAAGCCTTTGATAAGTTTTAGGTAGCTTCCAAGGGCTTAAGCAGGCTTAAGTATTTTCTACCAACCCCTATTGGACACTTTTGAGTGCCTGAGTGGCCAATCAGCAAGCACCATTTATGTCACATGTCAGAAAGGGGAGAAAGTCACATGTTCCTCCATACCTGTTAGAACTGGTATTTAACTCAGTCCCTGACAGCTTAATGAAGTGAGATGAAAGCAAACAAATAGTGAATATGTACGGCTGAGAAGTCCAACAGTTAAATGAACCGGTGTCTTTCTCCTGTATAAGTAAAGCTTAGGTAGAATGTAAGGTAGCATCTAATAAAAAAAAAGTGTACTGCTTCAGCATTAGGGCAATGAGAGCGTAGATTTCCCCCTGTAACCCAGTGAAATGTCAAAAAGTGAGATTCTGCTTCCTCCCTTGGTGGCCCAATGTGCAATTGATAGGGTGATGAGATAAATGGTCCTTTGGACCAATTTACCAGTTTAATAAGCAAGCAAGCCAACGTGCATTGGCCAGTTCCCCATAACTTTTTTTTAGAGTGAACCAACCTAATCCACCATAAGTTTGACTCGCACAAACCATGTCATTTTGCAGTTAACTCTCTCTTGAATATAAAACAGATTAGCATCTGAGGAGCATATGGCTTTCTCCATATGACAGTGCTTCCCTAATCAGAGCTGTCACAAAGGGAATCCATGTGTGAGCTATGACTCGGTTGACTCATATCTTACAAAATAATTCCCTTTCTTTCCTGGTGGAGTGGGAGGAGGATGAAGGAAAGGTAACTAGATTTGTCTGTGGATATCTCAGTTAAAGAGAACCTGTTTGTTTGCCTTTTGTGGGCACAGATATTGAGAATAACAAAGACATTTAGTTTATTTTTTTTCTCCTGATTTTAGTTTGAAGATGGAGTTGGGGAGATCTGTTTAAGAATACTGGACATGAGCCCAAATTTTCTAAAAGATCCAGCAAAGGATTGTTCTAAGAGAGGGGACCCTGTGTACATAAGTAGAGTCATCTCTGCCATGGTAAGCAGAATGAGCCATCTATATTGTAAGCCTAATGTGCCTGTAAATTGTCCTAAGTCTATGTTTTTATATGTTTCAAAATCATAATGTTCCCAATACAACCTGTAGATCAATTCTAATGATGACCGTGGAGTGTTGGAATCCTGCTGGGATGAGTTATTCAGAAATGGTGTCAATCCAAGCTCATGGAGTGGAAGTGTTAATATCTTAAGGCTCTGGGACCGCAGTGGTTGCAGGCCAGTTCGATACGGACAGTGCTGGGTTCTGGCTGGAGTCATGTGCACAGGTATATTACCAATTTACTTTCTTTTAATGAGTTACAATAAGGGGACTATTTGTTGGTTGTCAAACAGAATAGGAAGCAAGGTTAGCCATGCGCGTTTGAAATTTAGCTGGGATTCCTAGAGTCTGTGGCCCTGCCAACTTGAGTGAGGAGGAAGTGAAGACGTTTGAGGAAGGCATAAAGTACAACTAAAGGCAAAACCCTTTTTAAAAATCTTTGTTAGAGCTTTCTGGTGGAAACTCATCCCCACACAGCTACCTCCTTATGAATCACTTGCCCCTCCCTTTTAGATTGTAAGCTCTCGTGGACAGGGCCCTCCTTATCATCTTGTCTTGAATTGTATTGTGATTGTAATGTCTTCCTTATATTGTAAAGTGCTGTGCAAACTGTTGGCTCGAAATAAATCCTGTATAATAATAATAATAATAACTCAAAATTATGGCTTCCTTCTTCTGTTTCAGTCACAGTGATGGTGGTCACCAGGACAAATAGAGTGAATCTCCCTAATGGAGACACAGATAGCAATAAAAACCTGACAATAATAATAGGCCTTCACCACTCTATCCAGAATTAAAATAAAAGATTTGGGTTTATATACATTTAAAACCTCTGTGAGGATTTCTGTCTGTGGCCCCCAGATTTAATCTCACATGTGATCTAATATGCCTAGCAGCATGGTGCTAGGTTTGTGGAGCTGAATGCATGCAAAATAGAAATACATAGAGTAGAATACTACTCTACCATCAAAAATGCACAAACTGTGCAGGAATAGCAACAGTGAGGATCTGTGTTCACACTAGAGTGTTACGCTAAAGGCAAGGTATACATTGGTTCAGCTTACAATATCCTACAGCTAGTGCCGGATTTAAGCTCTCCGCTGCCCCAAGGCCGGGTTTCTTAATGCACTCCTCTCCTTGCCAAACCCCCCCACCCCTAATGAAGAATGACAACCGAATGCGGGGGTGGCAGGGTTGTTTTTACATTTTTTTTTCTTTATCATTTTTGTACTTTTTTATCACTTTCTTTTTATTTATTTATCTTTTATTTATCTTTATTATCTTTAATATTTTATTTGATAATTTTTGTACTTTTTTTTATCACTTTCATTTTTTAATTTTAATTATTTCTCATGGGGGGGGGTAAACGGAGCTGCATGCATATTACAAGTGTAATATGTAATACGTAATATTACATATTACATCACCGCAATCACTTGTACTAAAACACAGGCTTCCCCGCTCTACATTTAGCGCTGCTTCCCCGAAGCAAAATGCAGATGATTGAACCCGAGACGAACAGCTAATTGCATAGTTGATACATATAGATGAACTGCTCTTCCTGCAAAAGGAGTGGTTAGTTCCGTCAGGCCACCCTTGAGATCCAGTTACTCCTTTTAGACAACACTGCCAAGTCCCTTGACATTCAATGCAGTTAAGCAGGTTCAAGCACCCACTTCCAGCCTGCAAATTGGGCTATAAAAAACCCAATAACACACGTCACACATGCCTGTAAGCATGTTCACATTGTTAAACTGACAGCATGGTGTAAAGCTGTAGATCTCCCACTGGTTCAGGAAGCCAGCCTTTCCTACCCCCGTCAAAGTGCTGCTGTACAGGGAATAACATTAACACAGAATTTAGACTTAAATTGAGCTATATTTTAATAAATAATAAACTGATTTAAATGGTGTTTTTATTTTTTTAAATCTTAAACACAGCTAGAAATAAAATCTGGGCCATATGAATTAGATTTCATTATACAATATTGTCACATGGCATAACTTCTCTGTTTTTGTCTGGTCAGTAATGAGGTTCCTGGGAATTCCTACTCGCATAGTAACAAACTTTGAATCTGCCCATGATACCAACTTCACACTGACCGTGGACGAGTTTTATGATGAAAATGGGAAGAAGCTAGATCCTGCTCAGGGAGACAGTGTCTGGTACGTAACATTTAAGAATTGTTTATGAGGCCAAAATCTAACTTCTAAATTGCAGATTAGAAGTCAATTACAAACTTATACTTTAAAACGAACCTGGACCTTTCCTACTAAGGGTAAAGATTTAGGTTCATGTTAATTTATGTTCCCTCTCTTTTATATTCCTTACCTTAAATTCCTTGTCAATCCATTCACCTCCGAGAGTGAAGAAAATACCTGGTACATCCAGTTGTACTAGGCACAGTTTTTTCAGCTTTGCGTAAGCTCTAAATGGGATCAATCAAAATTTTCACACAAAGTTATGCTCCTGATGTGAAAGAGGGGGACTCTATGTAAAGGGGAATCCCATTTTTATTGTGTGTTCTTACTTGGGGTTCCCCGTCCTTAAAATCAATACCAGGCGCATAACTCATATAAGGGTTTGGTATGGATTTTGGAGGGGGTCAGATGTTGTTTTGAACATTTACGGTTTGTACATTTTAGACTGGGGTGCCTCGAGAATTAAACTGTGCCATGATTGAAATATGAATTCTGTCTCAGCCCAAGAGCAGGGACTTGACACATACTCACAAGCAGTGGCGTCACAAGGGGGTGCGGTCCGCACCCAGGTGTCACCATTGCAGGGGTGACACCAAAATGACTGACAGTCATTTTGGTGTCACCCCCTCTAAAAAGTCGGGCACTCGGTCATGAACCGAGAGCCCGACAGTGTCAGGAGAGAGGAGGGGACCCAGCGGCATACCTCATCCCGTCGGGTGAACGTTGGCTCCTCTATCTGCCAGAGTCCATCATCAAGATGGCCGCTGGCAGGCGTCAATCAGAGGGGGGCGCGCATGTGCGATAACGACTTGGCGGGGTGTCATCCGGTCTACAGACCGGGTGATACCCGGCCTCGGGACACCCCTGATGCCAAGTGCCTTGTATGCTCTTAGGGTTCACCTAAAGTTCATCTGTACATGTCTGTATAATGCTGCTCAACGTCTAACACTAAGTAACTTTCATTACTACATAATAATAATATTATTGTACATGCCAGTTAAGATCAACAATTTAAAGTGTATGAGTTAATATCAAAATTCACTACAGCTACTAATTAGATTTCATAAAATGTTCTGCTCCTGCCAGGTACCCTCCCAAAAACAATACCTCCACTCTCTCCAACTAATTACTTCAGCATTAATAAAAAAGAAATTGAATCTAAAAGCCCCTTTAAGCCACCTAAATGCTTAGTTATGTGATGCAATGGGTTCCGAGTCTTCTATCTCTTTCACTGCAGAGAAGCTCAGTCAGGCTTACATGCAATGGTGGAACTAGCGCCATAGCGACCCAGACGGCCACCAAGGGTCCTGGGGCACATACAAAATTTTGCTATGAGGCCCTGTGATTTCTACTTACGCCTCTGTTTTCCATTTACTTGAGATTGCATTAAATTAGCAGGTAACATGGACATATGCTCAATGCTTTGTACACATGTCAAAGTATTTGGAGACCTCAAGTGGCCAGAAGTAGTACTGAAGGCATTGACTAAAATACAGATGAATACCAGCATACTGGCACCCTTAGCTGTTTCTTTATATGCAAGAGGGTAGGCTACTTTAAGTAGAAAGGCAGCCAGAGTTGACAGGTTCATGAAAGCAAAATGCCAGCTCCATGTTTAGTAAACTCTCCTTTTTGGAGGCAGCAGTCGTAGTCTTTAGCAAATTATTCTCCTATAGTATTATTCATACCTGCCAACTTTAAAACTTGAGAAAGAGGGACACTTTAAGGAGACAGGGACCTGTGTACAGTGGGCATGGTTAAATTTTGCTAAATTTTGGGTGTTGCCTGGAAGGACAAGCTCACCTCTGTGGCTATACACCGACCCTTGTCTTCTTGCTCAGCTTCTTCAGCCACTTAAAGAGATTCTTCACTGTTTCATCATTTTCTTCTACCTCCTCATCACTACGCAACAGAGAGGGTGCACGGCAGAAGAGGAAAGTGACCTCACCTCTCCTGGCCGACAAGTACGCCAAGCAGTATGAGCAGACCAGGTGGCCAGTGGGCATGGCCTTCTGTCCTAGCTGTGGTCAAGGCAACAGTTGCCACACTCCTCCATAACTGCTATGAGCTGAGGTGATTTCACCATGCTATAGGATTCTGTAGCAAGAAAATGAATAAGACAATGTGGGGAGGGCTCTGGAAACTGGGGATCTCACAATGAATGGAGGGTGCCAATGAGAGCAGAGGGTTGTAGAAGTAGAGTAGGTTGCCTAAGTGAGGAGTTGGATTCTGAAATGAGTGTTCTGGCGCTGGGCTGCGGGACACAAGCCGGATCTGCTGTATTTTGTTGAAATCCTAGGACAGTCCTGTGGAATGCAGGTTCATTGGGAGGTATGAGCTGTAATGACTGTTGTGTGCTCTTTGACAAAGTACTAAGAGCCGCGGGAATTGCGTCAAAGCCCTTGCTAATTTGGAATAATTCTAGGGCAGTTATTCACCTGTAAAGGCTTTTAAGGCAATGCTTATGGCAAATTATGGGTACCGAAGCTTCTCACCATTTCACAGGCATTTGTAAGTTGAAGGCTTAACATGTTTGGTATCTATTTACTTGATGCAACCTCATCTTTTACCTTTTTAAAAAGTATGTATTATATTGTGTTTCTGTGCACTGAAATTAAGTTGAATGCATTTTTTTTTTACTTACAGTTTGTGTTTAATAAACAGTTGTGCAACAGTGAAAAATTGCAACTGCCACCATTTCATTCTCCAGGGTCTCTGCTTTCAGAAAATGTATAATTCTAGGGGGTTTAACTAAAATCCAGGCCTAAGATGTGTGTTTTAGCATGTGTGCAAACAAATGCAAAAATGCCTCTGTTAGCAAAAGGCTTAAATAACATACTGGGAGATAAAATTGTGTGTGGTGTTACGAAACTGTACAATTTTCGTTAGCAGTCTCAGTAACAGCATACAGTGGCAGGGCATATTGAGCTGTGGAATTTTTTTTTTTTTGGTAAGCCAATTTTTTTTATTAGCCAATTAGCTTGGCTCGCGTACAGCAGCACTTGAATCTGATTCATTTCAGTTTGGAAAAAAAAGGCTTTTTCGCAGGAAGTTTTAGCAGCCAAAATACTACCCCCTAAAAGTCAGGCAGCTCTTGTCATCAAAATATTTCCCACCAGTCAGTGAGCATATTGTTTCTTGGAAGACTGACATTTTAATACTTTAATTTCGTAGGAACTTTCATGTATGGAATGAATGTTGGATGGCTAGGAAAGACCTTCGTCCAGGATATGATGGCTGGCAGGTACTGGATGCCACCCCTCAGGAGATCAGTGGAGGTATGTGCCTAAGTCATATATCTTATGTTCCAACAGCATTTAAAGATGCCCGCCAACCAACATTGATATTGTATTCCTTAAAAGGTATTCAGAAACATTATCCTAAACGTTCACTGCACTGATGGCCTAGCCAATGCAGAATTACCTAGTTATCATTATACTTCCACTATGCCATAGCCTTGCACTATATTTATGTTGCTACTGCCCAGCTGACCTTTCCTAACTAACCTTAGAACCATGCCCACCGCATGGCACTAGCCAGTCTAATGACAGGGCTCCTCCTGTGCTGGCAAATCCTGATTCTTATAGCTACATGTTGCCAAATCGTAATTTGTAAGACCATCACACCACTGATCTGGCAAGCCCTATGTTGGCAACCTTCAGCTGCATACCTTGCATCCCGCAAATGACTGGTTTCATGTCTCCATGACTCCCTTCACCGTTCTTCCATTGCCATGTATGTGATGCCTCCTGTTAGGGCCAAGTCCCATTCAGCAGTCTCTTAGAGTGCATTGAGAAAAATCTGGGCTGAGAAAGTGTCAACATTCATCCAAATCCATGGATCGCCCTGGCAGCTCTTCTTTCATAACCTTCTGTTGTCCTGTTACAGGTACTTACTGCTGTGGCCCAGCACCTGTTAAAGCAATCAAAGAAGGAGATATGGACGTGGATTATGATATCCCCTTTGTGTTTGCGGAAGTAAATGGAGACATTGTCCACTGGGTTCTCCGAGATGGGGGAGCTGAAAAGGCACAGATCGACACTTATTCCATTGGCAAGTACATCAGCACAAAGGGTGTTGGCAGCAATACCAGAGAAGATATAACAAGTGAATACAAATACACAGAGGGTAAGGAATGCTATAGAAGTATACACATAAAAAGTGATCTTTCCATATTGCCAAGAATAGTGGAGCTGTTGCCTAGCAGACAATCAATTTGCATATTTTCCTGCAGTGGGTTGTAAAGTAAAAGCTATTTATTGATGTCTGACATGTGCAAAAATAAAAAATACTACTGTTCATGGGCGACTTTTGATTTTGGTATTGGTTGAAATGTGCAGTCAACAACAGCTAATGATCGGTTACAGATATTTAAAGCCATGCGTACAATGCCAAATATAATTGTCAGGATGTATGGATGGTTGTGGAGATGTCATGCAAAGCCACATTCCTGATTCCTGATACTGCTCTTGGGCCTCAGTCATACTGTTTTCAGTGCCAATGGAAAACCACCCATGTAACATAGGAAGTCCATCCTGGACTGTCTGATTTTTATTGTAAGTTTTGCAACTAATTTGAGCTATGATTGTGACAAACAGGCCAACGTTAACCTTTAGTCAATGGTCACAACTCTTACACCACATTAAATTGAATTAGAAGAAAAAAACAGCTGAGTTAGGCATAACCAACATGGTGGATTCTAGTTGTGTATAGCTTTGGTGACAATGGGCCCACCTTGTAAGTCTTTGGTTCCAAATTGGTGAAAGTATTACCTTTATATTTGTATATATGTTTAGCCATAAGCAAATGGATTTGAAAATCAACTAATTGAAATTTTGTTATTCACCTTGAAGAATTCCAACCAAAAGTGGTAGTCTTGGGCGGAAGGTGACCCAATGATATGCCACCTGAGGCAACCACCTCAGGCTGCTTCATTATAGGGATGGCCATGCCCTAGTCATTACTGCAGAGATAGCAGTCTACTCATAATCATACTTCCGGTTCCTGATGCAACCATTAACCTGAGTTCCAGGCAAAGACATTCTTTAATTTTGGATAGAGTGGGAAAGGATTATCACCTATGGGGTTGGTTTTACTAAAGCTAAATAGGCTGTTGACTTTGCAAGGAAATGTGCACTGTGCAAGGGAATTTGTCCTTTAGATTAGTAAATGTGGGGAAAACTCATCACTGCAAAGAATACTCAATCATATGCAAGGACAATAAATAAACAGTATTTTTGTTTGCATATGATTGGATGATGGAAGTCAGCAGAGCATCACATCATTAACAAAGCCAAGTAAAAAGTGAATGGTCTATTTGCCTATTAGTAAATCAACCTGTATGTATCAATGCCCTTGTTAAGAAACATGTTCCTTCACTCTCTGTTCTGACTGACACCCTTCTGCCCTTAACTCAATGTGAATAAATCTTTCCAATGGGACAAAGACAACAATAAAATCCTGACAGATTCCAAACCTTCCTCAGTAGACTAGAAAATCAGTTTAATTGCTGCTTGTTTCCCTGTTGATGATTTCCCCTCACTTCCTGTTTTCTTTGACACTTGTCAAATAGAAGGGAAGTGGGGAGATTTTCTAACTATTTCCTGCTCTATCCAAAGTTGATATAAAACTGGAGCAGGCGGAATCTGGAGCAGCTGTGCATTGCAACCAATCAGCTTCTATCTTCTTCTTGATCGGTTCAGCTTTGAAAATGAAAGCTACAAGCTGATTGATTGTCATGCACAGCTGCTCCAGATTTTGCCTGCTCCAGTCTAAAGGTGCCCATACACCTGCCGATTATCGTACGATAATCGCGGGTGATCCCGATAATCGGCAGGTGTATGGGAGGCGTGCAACCGTTTCTACTGTACGGTCGCACGTCTTTTGTCTTCCGAGCACGCTTGAAAACCTGCCAAAAAATCGTAAGATTTTCAGGGGGTTTGTGGCGTGCACGGAAGACAAATGGCGAACAGGCCGGTGTGCGCAAGCGCACACTGCCCGCTCAGTATTGGAATCATCGGAAGCTCTCCCGGGGGGAGCCTAGCGGGGAGGGCTTCCGATGATCGCAAGTACAATCTGCCTGTCCAAGATGGGCAGATCGTACGAGATTTTAATTACCTTACAACCATCAAACAACGAAAGTTGTGCGATGGATGTAAGGTGTATGGCCAGCTTTAGTAAGGTACCCTCAATATTTTGTGTAAAGCTGGCCTTACACCTGTACTATCTACTCTAAACTCTGTGGATGGAGGAATCTCCCACTGGGCAAACTTCAGTAACTTGCTAGTCGGCCACGCTGGGTCTCAAAATATGTGAACAATGACTGCATCCAATCAGATTGTTTGGGTATTTTGACAGCCAGCGGGGCCGACTAGCAAGATACTGAAGCTTGGTCCAGTGGGAGATTCCTTTATAACCACAATTTAGCATAGATGGAGGAATCTGTTGTCCTTTTTCCATCTGACCATAGAAAGTCTGCAGATAATCTATAGATGTATGGCCAGCTTAAGGTCGGGCTCTGTGCAGCCAAGTTAGGTGATCACATTTAATCTTGAAGGATAGTCTAGTCGTAAACCAGCCCAATGCATGCTAAATAGGTGATGTAACATATTCTGAAATCTTTCAAATGCTTGGTCACATAAAATGTATAAAATACTTATATGTATATAAAAAAGTATAAAATAATTTCTGTTCTATTATTTTGTTTTGCAGGCTCATCCCAGGAAAGGGCTGTATTTGAAAAAGCTGTAGCTAATATCAAGACAAAGAAGCCATTCAGGGAGAGAGATTCTTTTGTAGCATTAGACTTTGATGTGTCCATAAAGCTAGCTGAGTCCCCCCTGATTGGACAGACGGTTTTACTTATCTTCCGCATTCATAACAGAAGCTATGAGGCCAAGAGATTCGCAATAAGTATTAGCGCCCAGGAGATGGTGTACAATGGGAAGGCCCTAGATGAGTTCTGGGGTGAACAATTTGAACTGGATGTGAATGCTAACAGAGGTAAAACAGTTTAATCATATCTGAGTGGTAAATACAGTCCATATATTTGTTGTTCTAATCACATTAAAAGAGAACTAGAAGTAAAGAGAATAGGGCTGGCAGTGATTAAAATGTACGTGTTCGATTAATCAAATTTTTTTTAATCGATTGATTTCGATTAATTATAACGCACATACAGATCCAACTACATTGGCCTATACACATGAACACGTGCCCCACTCAATATGGGCGCCGCTTGAGTGGGGCAACTCAGAATAATAACGTGCTGGATTAGTGTGATCCTAGCTCATTTTATTACTTCATTGCTGTGCTGTATGTGTATAGGCCAATGCCTTGGCTGGCGCTCGTGCAGAAAATTTCTTGGGCAAACTCACCGGCCCAAGTGGCTCCGTCGGCTAACGAAGGGGGGAGGAGTCCGGTGACGTCATGGACATCGACGTCACCGGACTCCTCCCCCCTTCCCTTCATTAGCCGTCATGGACATCGACGTCACCGGACTCCTCCCCCCTTCCCTT